ACGTAGTATTTGACAGAAACCGGAAGTCGAGATCGTCGGAGACAGATTCGTCCTTTAATCTTTATTCCATTCCGAACGAACCAGTTTTTTTATCAGTCAAACGTTATTTCCTCCTTAAGCGGACAATTAACGTCCGTCCGAGCGGAGCGAGTGGCTCGGATAAAAGTTCTTTTTCCTCCGCGAATGCAAACAAGATTCACAAAGATATCGGATTCATTTAGCCCGGCAAAAGTTCCACCGGCCAGGCTGATACGGAAGTTTTAACTGGCGCGAGGCGAAATAACCTTTCCCAGGACCGAGAAAACGAGTTCGAAACTGGACGACAAACATTTTCCATTTACACCGCGCTGCGAACTTCCGATCGACGTTTCACCGCGGACCATCTCGAAATGGTATATGCGCGTTTTTTGTCTACAGAAGTACTTACTTACACGAGGTGATTCTAGATCGCGTGTCAACGCCTTCGAAAGTTCTATCTTAACAACCGAGTTGGCCCGACTTTCGCAACGTTGACAGGGGATCTTTAGGATCACCGAATGTTCGCGTTTCAGGGGCTAGATCATCTCTGAGGTTTGAAAATATCGAATTTTCTTTTGGAATTAGTGTTTCTGTGCTAGAATTTTAGGGGGGAAACGAGAAATATCTATGAAATTCAGTATTTTTTTTTAATTTTACTTTGGAATTGATATTTTTGTACTGAAATTTTAGGGAAAAAATGCCATTCTTTATTCGATCTTCACTATGTTTATAAAACTCAGTATTTTCCTAATTTTTTCCTTGCAATCACCATTTTTATACAAAATTTTATTCTTTTTTCATATGTTCACTGTGTCCATAAAATTTGGTATTTTAAAATTTTCAGACTAAAATTTTAAGGGGAAATGAGATTCTTTTTTCATGTGTTCACTATATCTGTAAAACTCAGTACATATTTTCTTAAGTTTCTTTGCAATTATTTTTATACGAAAATTTTAGGGGAAAAATGCGATTCTTTTTTCATATATTCACTGTGTCCATAAAATTTGGTATTTTAAAATTTTTAGACTAAAATTTTAAGGGGAAATGAGATTCTTTTTTTACGTGTTCACTATATCTGTAAAACTCAGTACATATTTTCTTAAGTTCCTTAAGTTTCTATTTTTATACGAAAATTTTAAGGGAAAAATGCGATTCTTTCTTCATATGTTCACTGTGTCCATAAAATTTGGTATTTTAAAATTTTTAGACTGAAATTTTAAGGGGAAATGAGATTCTTTTTTCACGTGTTCACTATATCTGTAAAACTCAGTACATATTTTCTTAAGTTTCTATTTTTATACGAAAATTTTAGGGGAAAAATGCAATTCTTTTTTCATATGTTCACTGTGTCCATAAAATTTGGTATTTTAAAATTTTTAGACTAAAATTTTAAGGGGAAATGAGATTCTTTTTTTACGTGTTCACTATATCTGTAAAACTCAGTACATATTTTCTTAAGTTTCTTTGCAATTATTTTTATACGAAAATTTTAGGGGAAAAATGCGATTCCTTCTTCGTATCTTCACTATGTTTATAAGACCCAGTATTTTCTTCATTCTTTTCCTGCAATTAACATTTTTATACTAAATCTTAGGGAAAAACTGTGATTCTTTTTTCATGTGTTCACCATGTCTATAATACTCAGTATTTTTTAATTTTCTTTTGCAATTAACGTTATTATGCTAAAATTTCAGGGGGGAAATGCGATTCCTTCTTCGTATCTTCACCACGTTTATGAAACTCAGCATTTCTAATTTTCTTTTGCAATTAATATTTTTGTACTAAAATTTTAGTGGAAAAATGCGATTCTTTCTTTATATCTTCACCATGTCTGTAATACTCAGTATTTTTTTTTTTTTAATTCTGTACACTTCTTTAGTAATTGGCAAATTTTTCATATTCTCTTAATTTAAATCCGACAGAGATAGCAGAGGCTCGACGATGCAGCTGTAGCATCGCCATTTTGCACCGAAATTAAATAAAAAAAAAAATACTTTTACATTCTCCAAGAGTAATATAACAAAATCCACGTGAAAAATTTTCCACAAAGTTCATCATCCAGTATCACTTCCAAACTTCAGAGATGCTCCAACCCTCAAAATTAGATAAACCGTGACAATTACTTCGACCGCTTGTCCATACCATTTACTTCAAGCTAAACAGCTTAATCTCGCTAGCTCGATTCTATCAAGCGAAACGATACCAGAAAACAGTATAAAAAAAGAAAGGATCGAAAACGCGTAACTACTGCTGTAAGCGGTAAAAAAAAAAAAAGAACAGAAAATAGTAGTTGCTACTAACCTTACACGTGTGAAGGAACCTAGAGTTAACAGGCACTGATAAATGGTTCTGCAAAATAACAAACACAAACAAACACTACAACAAAGGCAAAATAAAAATAAAACGAAATTAAAGGTGGCGATTAAGCGTAAAATAGGAAAGATTCCCGGTACTTCGTTCGTTTCTTCCAATAGTAAAAGAGAAAAAGGAGAAAGACATGCATCGTCGTTCCACAAAGTGGCTCTCGAAAAGACACGCGAAACTTTTCTCTGGACAATTAACAGTCCAGCGAACGAAAGTTTTTCTACGATCGAAAGGCGGCGCACTTAGGCCAATTAGCGGGCGTGAGTCTTGCGAAGGTCCGGGGCCGTTACGCTTCTTTCGACACGGTGCATTAACGCTTAACGGGCAAGGTGCAGGATAAAATCGATATTCAGCCAGGCTACGACTAATCTAGACAGCGATTAACAAACCGTGGCCGAGATTGGTCGCCCCTCGGACAATAATAACAATAACAACGCCGGTCTAGCGAAATTGTACGCCGCGGCGAGGCGAGCCGAGGCAATTACGCTCCGAGTTGAAACATTTTTAACGGTCGATCCGAGCGTTTCGTAATCGTTCAAGGACCAAGCAAGTCCATCGCGAGAGACGGAGAGAGAAGAACCGATTGATTTTTCACGTGGAATCTCCGGTCGAGAAATCTGCGAGTATTCGAAGAGGAAGATCTACACACCCCGGTGGTTACGAAGCACAGAACAAGCACAGAACATCTCTCTTTTCCTTCGTATCATGCAGTTGCTACGCATGTGTCAGCGGTTACTTTCTGTATCTCGCGAATTATACTATGTACATTTAGCTTTATGGAGGCCAGGCATCTTTTTGTCCTCCGCTGGTCAATAGGAAAACGAAACACTCTGGAGTAGCGTAAAATATACTTGCGTACTTTGTGCGTGTGTCGAAGATGCCGAGATTCCATAATTGTTCGTCTCTAGTTCGACGTAAAGTGGTCGGAACACCGTGTCTCTCTTCAACTCTTCGAGTAAACTTTGGTCCACAGATTATTTTCGACCTTTCATTTTTTTCATTTGAAATATTTCGTCTCGGATTGTTAAAAATTTGAAAAATTCGCGAGAGAGAGGCACTCTCTATTGGGTGATCCCATAAATTCGTACCGAAAATTAGTAATATTTTACTTTTTACGCAAACTTTTTAGATATTTTTAACACGAACCGTACAATGCCCGGTCAAATCGGTCAAAGGAAATTCTCTGTGAAATCTTGGCAAAAGTAATAGAGAAGAGAAGACTTGCAATTGTCTCTTCTCAAATTTAACCCTTCGACGACGATAGACTCACATACGCGTTCACGGGACACTATGTGAACGCAACCGAGCGATCGCCAACTTATGCGCGTACATTTGAGAAAATCGTAACTGTCCTATAAGTTAGTTCGAAAAATAGTGACCCAATTATGTCATCGATCTAACCCCGAAAATTCGGTAGGAACGTACGGGATGGCCGGATAAACAAAAGTGAAGAGTTAAGAGAGACACGGCGCTTCAGGCGACCGAGGGCAGGTGCAGCAAGCATCCTCTAAGAATGCAAACACTATGTAAAAGAGCGTGTTTACGGGATCGCAAGGATATTTACTTGGGCGCTGGTCTGATCCTGCGAAAAGGATAGCCTACCAGCTTGCGGCAAGCTGGTCGGCGACAGGTTTGTGGGACTGCTTGTTTCACGGCTCTGGAATACACCAGCGGAATAGACCATTTCAAAAGAGTATCCCCTGCATCGAGGAGTTTCGCTACCTAAGGCTTTTGTATGCTACTCCGGCGTAACGCGACGCTACCTGATACGACACGGACACCGACTTGGAGGAAACAAGAGAAATGTGGGCTAAGAGAAGGAAAAAGAAGAGAGAGAGAGAGAGAGAGAAAATAAACGGTACGCGATTATTCCTGATATCACTTCCCTCAGCCGCATTTTTTCACGAAATCCACGCGATATCGCCGCGTATAAAACCGTGGATCCCTTTCTTCTCTCTTTCTCCTTCTCTACCGAGGAAATCATTTCCCTAGAAGAAAAGTCTTGTCTCTCATCTGAGATAAAGAGAAACGTCGCATTTTTCGATTAATTCCTCGTTCGAACAAAGTCCGACAAGAATTTTCTCCCGTAGGAGGTAAATAGTAAGAGAAACGCGGTTCTGAAGAAATTTCTCTGCAAAATGAAGTACGAGAAACGGGGAGAGATATGTATGTATAAGGAAAGTGGGATAATTGGGCGGACTTACGTTGCTGAACGGTGTACTGCTCGAGTGATCCTCCTGATCCGACGGGAAGTGGACCAGATCAGGCAACGATCGTGTGTTGCCAATGGGAATTTGCTGTCCCGCCGGCTGAGAGCTTGGGTCTATGCTGCAAGACAAATACGCGATCCAATCAGAAATCGACGCGTTTACGGGGGCTTCGTGGGCGCTCGAGAACCTTTCGAAACTATGATTCTCGAGTCGGTTGTCTGTCCTGAAAACACCACCGTAAATTTCCATCTTTTCCAATTAGAAAATCACAGAAGATTCGTCCGCGAAGGACGAACATTTCTTTCATCGACACTCTCGTCACGAGTGCGAAATCAACAGTAACAAATAAATAAATACATAAATATGCGATGAATATTTCGACGGATGCGTCGGACGTGTTCAAATTTAAGGCAGCCTCGAGGACAGACCGGACAGTGGCTGTTCGAAAGGAGAAGAAAAAAGAATTATACGAACTCGATGCACTGAAGTGCATTAGTATGTGCGATATAATGCTCGGCGAATACAATGAAACCTGCGGTACAATAGCTCGCGCTCATAAATAATGCATACACCGGGTATACAACAATGGTACGGTGTACTGGAAGACATTGCACGAGATTCGCGAAATTCCACATATTTTTTTCTTTCTTTTTTTTTTTCATTTTAAGAGAGACTCGGCTAATCGGAGTGGACGTAAGAAAATTGCCACGTGGTTCGACGTGGAGGAAGGAAAAAGTGAGGGAGAGAGAATGCGTCTTACTTGCTTCCAGGCACTCTAGGTATTTCACAGGACGATCTTGGCCGTTCGATGAATCCGTAATGCAAGTCTCTGTTGTCGCTCCCGGATCCGCTCATGGTGTGTTGATCTGTGAACGACGAATCGAAGATGTGAGATAGAGACGTGGGGGGGAAATCGAGAGGAAGGAAATAATTTGTCGGGACTTGAACCGTCGGACGGGAAAATGGAAAAATTCAGTTTTGGGGCTTTTCGTTTCTTTTCGTGGATTTGTGGGAAATACCTACTTCTGCGATGGAAAAGTATCATAGCTTGGTGGAAGATGAAGATGTTAACCCTTTCACTACGGCAGATTTGTGACTGATGGTCAATTTTGAACCACTGTTAAGCAGCACATCTGCCGACAATATCCCAAAGTCAGGATTTCTAACTTTATGTTCCTTGAATATTTCTACAAATCCTGATCCGTCGGTAGGGGCAATAACTTTATGAAGCCATTGAACATCTACCGCGTTCTTCTCAAGTCGGTGTTTTCTCGCCGACGAGCACGGCTTAGAATTTTTATATCGCTGCTTTCGTGTATTGCTCGCTTCAGAGTGCTTCATAAGTTTATCGCCTGTAACGGCCCGGGTTCGAGGCAAGCGGAACCTCGCGGCGGTCACTCAACGTCAGCTTGGGGGGGTGGTCATTTCACACGTCTCCTTCCAGTCTTTTTGTCAACCGATCATCTGAAAATCAACCACCACCCTCGCGATTTTCGACAAAATGAGTTTGACCAATGTCTCAACCCCGAAACACGCCTCATCCGAGGCAACGACGAAGGAAACTCTCCAAGACAATTCAGTTCCTCGTCAGTTCGCATAGTTCATCGTTCAATTCCACGATAGTTGTGTCATTTCACTCGCACACCAAACCCTTTCGTACTCTTTCAACTACGCATAATTTATACTATTTCCGATTCGTTTGTTATTTCATTAAATTTGTTCTTACACAAATCCACCCATACTCGTTTAAACGTCCCTTGCCTGCGTAACAGTTCGTAAGGAAATCACGCTGTCTCCAACCATCGCAACAAAATTTCTTATTTTGGCCGCATAACGTTTACTAAATTAGGGTGGAAGTGCGTAAAGGAGAAAATTAGTGGACCGAAAGGCTTCAACAGCATGGCGTGAGCAAATTTTCAAAACGCCTGTAGGCGCCAATAGTAACGAAAGGGTTAACGAAGATCCGATGAAAATGCTGCTTCTTATTTAATACAATTTTAAATCAAATAAAATTGAAGTCCCATTTAACAGAAAATAATTATGCTGGAGTATTTGTCTTAAAAAACACCGAGCTTCCAATTCCTTCAAATTCAGCTGATACTCTTCAAGATATGCAGCAATGACCGTGAACCATTTAAAATTTATCATCGATACAAATTATTTACGAAAACTGTATAGTTTGTTTTAGTTTCATCAGGTAGAGAAATATTCTTTAACGAATTATTTCGCGTTAAAAGTTACGAACGACGTGTGAATAAAAATATTTTAACGGAAAATTGATTTTCCCCCCTATATTCTCGCTACACTGTACATTTGCTGAGAAGCGAAGCCGGGTCAGAATTGACCGACCATAAGATTAGTCGGTCTATAGATCAGAGTTTTTTTTTCGTCAGAGTTTTATCTAACACATTAAACTACATTTCTCGGTAACTTTTTTTTTCTAATCAATGGTTGAACGACCTTTAATGATAGCACGGTGAAACCGCTACAACAGCGGCTATCACACAGAGATAAAAAAGTATAACATCTCGTTTAATAAAACAGAGACGATCTTGACATCTTTTCTACGTAAAAAGTTACTCACATCGCGTTATCTACTCTTCCGTATCGTGAAACTTTCGCGTACAACATTTCGCCGTACTATTATAAATAATAGAAATATTCTGTAAACTTTCTGCAGGAGCAAATAACACGGGTCACAAATGACCCAGCTTCGTCGATCGACAGTTTAAGGAACAGTGTTTGAAGCTTCGGTGCAATAATCGACGGGGTACACAGCGAGTGATGAAATTATTAGAGCCACCTGTAAGAAATTGACGATTAATTTTCAGATGAAAATCTAGTTATACTAAATTTTTGTGCAATTTTACAAACTGCAAATACGCACTTGGCGACATTATAGGCAATATTATCTGTCGCAAATTTCCACTTGAAAATCACGTGTTACAGATTTGCTGATTTATAGATCTCGAGCATTTTCACTTTTCTTGCACTGTTTTTGCTACTTACAATGCACGGTAAATTACTCAAAATGTATGGAAAAAAGGACTGGAAGTAGCGCTGCCAAATACTAACTTCATCGTCACTTCTTGACTGTACTTTTTACAACTACATAAGCTAAGTTTCAACTCTTTCGCGTATCTTCAGTGAACAATCGTCGATTAACACTAGGTTTACGGACACGCGAACGAAGCCGCATATTTTCTCTGAAACTTATTTCGTTCAGAAACAACGATATACGAACGATAACACGAACAATATATTTCTACAAAATTTATAACAATCACAAGTGATAAGAGAGAAATGCAAGCGGTTTCTCTAATTTCCCCAGTGAAATTCGAAATGCGTGAAAATCCCGCGTCCCCTAAACCTAGCGTTAAAAATGACCCAGCGTGAAAACCTTGACGCCGCCGTTTCATTTCCACCCAAAAAGTAAAAACAAATATTTCTCGTAATACAGCTCTAATAATCCATCACCCACCGACAGATACACGTTAGACGAAAGAAAATTTCGCCCATCTGTTCGGCAAACACGAAGAAGATGTTGAAACGCGCTGTAGTTCTAGGACTACGCACGGAATACGTATTTCCAAGGCAGCAGGGGCGTTGAGTTTCGCTAGAGCAACGTAACACCATGTAATGCTACTTGCTAACGTTACTACGGGTATAACGTTTCAGTTCCGATCCCCTCGTGTCGCTGCACGGTGCCAGATTAAGAGGGAATCATCGAAGCCGCGTATCCGAGCGACCGGAATCGGAAAACCCACTGCGGTCGTTGACCTGTCTTGCCACTCGTTCGGTAATTCGACCGTGAATTTTTCATCGACCGTAACTGGCGATTCTACGTGAAAAACTAAATGGAAAATGTGGAATGAAATTTGTTCATGCTAGGCTTTGTTTCCGAGAAAATTCAATTTAACCCTCTGGACTGCTTTGTCGAGTGTGACTACATCAGTTTTATTCACAGGTACGAATGAAGTCATTTTTCAATTGCCAGCTTAAATAGGTATTATATTTCGCAATTTTTTTTTCTTTTTTGCCTGGATGAGCAATAGGTACCGGCCGAAAGTTTGAGACCACTGTGCATAGCAAGTTACATAAAAATTTCCAGAAAAAAGTAAGCAATTTTAAGAACTGTTTAACGAATTTTTTATAATTTAAATTAATCGAAATGGGGTAAATTGCTATTGATATCAATTTCAAATCTATAAAAACTTGGCAGCAGATTCAATATTGATGTAAACTGACAAGTGATTCCAAATTTTTGGCCGGTGGTGTATATACAGGGTGCTACCTGTAACACTTGCAGCCGTCTGACAAAAAAAGGGATTAGAACAAGAGTTGCAGGGTATGGAGTGTACAATGGATATCAGTAAAAAAAATTTCGAAAAGCTTGTTTTCATGGCGAAATCAAGGTCACCTTGTGTTTTACAAATAGGAACACATATTTTTTTTTTACCATCTTTTTGTGGACACTTTTACTAACATATTTTTATTATTTTTTGCAGAGATGCAAAAAAATTGTTTAAATTAGTCTTTTCAAGTGCATTTCAAGTAAATTTCTTAACCAGTTAACTGCGTTCGACGTGTATACACGTCAATCGAAAACTTTATTTCGGTGGGGTTGGCGTGTATACTCGTCGTGTAAAATAAAAAATTACCATTTACTATGAAAACTCGATATTTCACTAAGAAGTAAGAAAAATGTCATTTGGCGGTACGTTTCCTTTACGTTAAATCAACTGAATTTCTTAAGATTATTTTTCTATTTTGTTCATTATTTTATTATTTTCTGACGATTTTTAAGTTTTTAATAACATTGAATTGTTAACTTTTTTATCGAATAAAAATGTAATCCTTCCTCGTTTTGCTTTTCGTCAAATTTATAATAGGAGCATTTGCCCTGCGTTCGACGTGTATACTCGTCGCTGCTTGATTTTAATTACGCATCCCCTGAGGGATTTTTCAAACTAAATTCCGCAGTTACTGGTTAAAATAATAGGGAGTTATTGAAAAGAAAATTGGAGTTCAAAGGGTTAAAGATTCGCTACAAATTGCTGCTTCTGTTGACTTTCACGTTGATACACAGTGGTAATGCCACGTTTCGCGAAGAAATAGTCTACGCAGAGGATAGTGTAAAAAAATGAATCGCTGTCACAGAATTACAGTGTCGAAATATCGTCAGTCCATGACTCTCCGGTTCGAAGAGCGAGGGTTTGTGCTTTCAACAATTCGATCAGTAATGTAAACTCAAATTAAGAGGATCGTTGATAAATGTATTATCGATACTTTTCACGTAATTAGTGTCGTTTATTAGGACAAACTTAAAGCAGAGAGCACGCGTACTCGACAAATTTTCAAACTTGTTCCTCTCGAAAACGAAGCTTCTTGTGAACAAATTTTATTCCACATTTTCGATTCAGTTTTTCAGTATACGTTTCACGGTTTCTCGAAATTAACTCTTCGCACTCGTATTTTCGCGTCGGAATTACTTCTCGATAGCGCAATCTCGGTCAATTATTGCCTAAAAAACGTATAAATTTTATTCCAACGAGTTAGTTATTTTTGTTTTTTCCACGTTTCTGCGGGCAAAGAGCGTCCACGGAGCGTTTGGAAGGTAAAAACGCCGGAATATCCCGGAGTTCGACTGCAAAAAGCTAAAGACACACAAAAGAGAAAAAAGCAGAGATCTATTTGTACTCTTTCATATATAAATATTAATTCGTCGAAATATACGTTTGTTAGAAGAAATTTGGAATATCGATAGACGATATTTCACGCGAATATGATCTAGTTTCCATATTTCCCCGACAGATATTCAATTAATGAATGCATCTGTGACACATTGTTACCGATAGCACTCAGA